GTTTCCGGCTTGAGCGGCGTTGGCGTCGCCATCACCGTCGGCGTAACCGCGCTGTGCATTATGGGGCGTATCCCATGATGACGTCACACGTGACGTCACGTGCGATGTCACGAGGGTCACCGCTTTGCATTATGGGTAAATTTCCCCACTAAATTTAGCGGAAAAAATTCCCCGCTAAATTTAGTGGGGACAGGTAGATGCAATTTATTTTGACATGTCGAAAGCGTTCGATTGTGTATGTCATAATTTACTGCTACAGAAGCTTGCCTTGCATGGTTTCAGCCCGCATCTTTGCGCGTGGTCTTCCACGTATCTCATTGGGCATCGAAACTCTGTTCGCATTTCTGATAGCTACTCTGACGAGTTTATTTCAAGTTCTGGTGTACCCCAGGGATCCATCCTGGGACCAGTTTTATTTCTTTTGTTCATAAATGATCTCGCTTCCCGTATTACAGATGCAAAAATTCTTTTGTTTGCCGATGATGTTAAGCTTTTTATAAGTGTGAGGTCACTATCTGATTGCTCCCGTCTGCAGGCTGACATAGAACGTGTTTCTGAATGGTTTGCCAAAAACCGCTTGTCACTTAACCCCAAGAAAACTAAATCAATTGTGTTATCCAGAAAGCGTCACATACTTTATTTTTTATATAATTTGGGAGGGTCCCCAATTCCTCGTTTTTTTTTTTATCAAGGATCTTGGTGTATTCATCGATAGTTCACTATCCTTTAATAGTCACGTGTCTATAACCGTTAATGCAGCACTGAGAGTGTTGGGAATGATTTCACGGTTGTGTCGCCAGTTTTCTACGCCCCGTTGTTTACAGCACTTGTTTAAGACATTAGTGAGGTCAAGATTATAATTTGGCTCAATCATTTGGAATTCAATAACGTAATCTCAGGCTCTTTCAATACAAAATATACAAAAACGAATGATTAGAATTGTGTATGGCCGTTATATTGGAAGGAAATATTTTTACCATTATGAAACGTTACTTGTTCGATTTGCGTTGCACAAGCTTGCTGTGCGGAGGCAATTCAGAGATTTTATATTTCTTCACAAAGTTGTACACGGAGAAGTGAATTCAATTGATCTGTTGCGTTTCATAGACTTTCATGTTCCGTCAAGGGTCAGTAGGAATGTGCTAACCTTTTACCCATCTTGTATGTCATCTGTGTCTCCTTTATCGAGAATACAATTAGCATTTAATAAGACCCATCTTGACATTTTTCTGTGTTCAAACCAGTTTATGTTTTATATGCGAAAGTGGATGTCCTTGAATTACCTATTGTAAGGCGGGTTCTGTATAGTCTTTCAGTTTCTGTTATCTGTTTATATTTTCATTGTGACAAGTATTTTAATGTTTTATATAGTGCTGTGTTTTAATTTTCTTTGTGTGCACCACATCATAGACTGTAAAGTTGTTTGTGGGCACGTAAAATAAAGATTTATTATTATTATTATTATTATTATTATTATTATTATTATTATTATTATTATTATTATTATTATTATTATTATTATTATTATTAAGCGAAAAATTTCCCCGCTAAATTCGTGGGAAAATTTCCCCGCTAAATATAGGGAAAACATTCCCCGCTAGAGTTAGCGTAAAAATTTACCCGTAATTTTAGGGGAAAATTTAGCGAAAATTTTCGCTAAATGGGAGGCGAGCAGGAGAGGAGGAGGGAAGGGTACGGATATGAGGAGAAGGGGCATACCCTTCTCTCCGTACCTTCCCCTCTTTTTCCCCAAGAGCTGCGCTCTAATTCGGACTTACAGGGGATTGTAAACGTCTTCCATTGCTGCCAGCTTTCAGGTGGTTTACGTTTGTTTTCCTCATATGTACGTATTTGTTTACCAAGTTTGATCAAGTTTCTATATTTATATATACCGGGTGTTTTTGCGAAGACTTTCAAAAATCCAAAAAATTAGGGCGATCGAAAAAACAAGAAACTCTCTTCGGGAACGAACTACCAGCCACGGCGGACGTCAGAAATCGCCAAAAACCTACTAATTAGCCAGATAATTAATTAAAACTTCTTAATTAACTTTTCAATTAGTGGAAATAGACATATGATTCCAATTAGAAAGTTGCTGAGCGTTATCAAAAACCACTAAATCAGTCATCTTTAGAAAGACTTTAAGCGCTTGAGAAGAGTAGTAGCGCACTAAAATTACCACTCGTGGAGCAGGTACAAGGCTGGGGCTAGATAAGAGGCGGAAAAATCGCGCAGGCGCCTTACCGCAACCGCTAGCCTTGCACCTGCTCCAGGAGTGGTAACTTTAGTGCGCTACTACTCGTCTCATGCGCTCAAAGTCTTTCTGAAAATGACTGATTTAGTGTTTTTCGATAAAATTCAGCAACTTTCTAATTGGAACCATACGTCTATTTCCCCTAATTAAAAAGTTAATTAACAAGTTTTAATTAATTATCTGGCTAATTAGTAGGTTTTTGGCAATTCCTGACGTCCGCCGTAGCTGGTCGTTTGTTCCCGAAGAGAGTTTCTTTTTTTTTTCAATCGCCCTAATTTTTAGGATTTTTGAAAGTCTTCGCAAAAACACCCGGTATATATATATATAAATATATTTGCTACTCACATAAGCATTAAACCACAAATACCTATTTCATTTCCAGAAGAAAACACTATTTTTAATGATATTTCTTTCTTATTCTCCGTTTAATTTTATATTTTTCTATCTCTCACCCTAGACCCTTTTACGCTCCTCTTTCTTCAGTTTATTCTATTAATATCATCTTCATTGTCGTGACACCCTCCATTGCGTTTACCATCTTGTTTTTTTTTTTGTTGCAACATTTTATTTTTAATTTAAATATAGTTAAATTTGACCGCAGCCGATGGAGATCATCAAGCAGCGTCAAAAGTGCATCGTCATGTCGCTCATCGCTTTTGTATCGTTCCTAGTCAACAACCTAACGAATCAGTGAATGCGCCACGACCCTGAGCTTTCTCATAGGCGTCATTGGTCTAGTCGGCAGTGATTAGAAAGCCCAAAGGCGACCAGCGCCCGCGACGGTACACTTTGATGGTGCTAAATTGGCGCCCCATCGGATCATAGCATCAGCCGCGATCAGATTCAAAGACCGGCGACCAGTTGGCGCTTTCCACTTTCCCCCCTTCCTCCTCTCCCCCTTCAATCCTCTCCACCATTGCCTGTTTCCTCTTCCCCCACGGTGAGGAGGATCTTCTGACTTGCAGAATCTCTATAGTCGGTTACAAGTCAAGAAGGTAGGAGAAGCTCGTCCCAGAAACGTGATGCGCCCGTTTCAAATCTCTCCGCAGTCGAAAGAAGAGTTCGCTGGAAACGCTCTTTGTTTCGTTTCAATAGATAAATATTGGCTACCGAGTAATGCCCAACTTGTCTCCGACCCCCACTTTTTAAGAAAGCGACGTTTTTATTCATTGGAGAGATAACCGAGCTCCTAGAAGCAGCCTTTGTATCCATCTGAGGAGAACCTGACTCCCCAAAGTCGAATTTGTTTTCATCGGAGGGGAAGGACTCCAATCTCCGTCTCGTAGCTTTTACAACGCTAAGTCAATGTCGAAAGCTAAAGCAAATATTTACAGGTAGGCAAGACCCCCCTCCCGGCGTTGGCTGCGACGTCACAGAAACGATGGGACGCTATTGGATGCGGAGGTGGCGGAGGGATATATGAATCCCTTTGAGGGACATTTGCCGCTACCTTCGTTACCCGTAATTTGCTATAGTCTGGTCGTCGGCCTTTAGCTGAAACAGAGTAAATCGTAGTCTTTTATGCGTGCATGATCCTATACGGAGCGCAAGTTCGTCTGCTTCTTGCACAGGGGTTGCGACGACGTCAGAACGCCGAGCTCTTATTGGCTGATTGAGACAAAACAAAAAATAGTGGGTAGACCCCGAGGCATCTAGCATTGAGGTTCACAAAACTATCCTTTCAATCAAAGCCAATCAGAGCTCGGCATCGTTCTGACGTCACCACCACTGCCGCTCTAAAAGCGGGCGATTCGCCCTCCCCATGGGTTAACTATTCGCGCGAGACTTTTAATCCTGCGAAAGGGGTACAATTTCTATCGTAATTTAGCATCCAAAAAAAAGTTCTACCGTGTCAAAAACAAAAAAAAGGTAATAGAAGCAAATACGTAGAAATAAATTTTATTTCTCGCGACACTTTGATTCGTTCTACCCTAAAAGAAGCTGTTTGGAGCCGGAAGTAGAGGCCATTTGGAATAAATACATTAGACCGCCATTAGCAATTGAACGATGCGTGCTGTCGTTTTGGAAAGTGCGTGTCATTTCCTTTTCCGATTTACCGTTCGCCTCTGGCGTTGCCCGATTTTAACGGTGTTTATTTGTTCGGTGCCGTGGCTTCGCTATTTCGGCAGTTTTTCTCCGCTTTCAGTCGGTAGTGTGTTTTCTCGCTTGCTTTTGGCCTTCTTTTCGCTCGAGTTATACTGCGTTACTTTATTTCTATGCGGAGTTTCACCATTGGTAAGCTTATTCGAGTGACTTTTCCCCCAAAATGATAAACAAAAAAAAAACAAAAAAAAACAGCCTGACACATTTATTTTGAATTCTAGACGAATGTGACTGGATTGGAAAGACCGGTCGCTCCTTTTTATGTTCAAGTCGTGAGAGGCAACTTTTTTGTCTCCTTTTTTACGCCGGCGTGAGAAACGTCAGTCGCTTTCTGTAGCCCATGCTCTTTGATCTTTAACTTTGTCAGATTCGAATGCCACTCTTTTCTGAGTCGAGCCTTGCCTCCTTAGGCAAGAATTTTATCTTCGGGCGAGAGATGGCGTTCCTTCCCCAGAGCTGCTTTCGTCCGCTCTGAATCAACTGAAAACAAATACGCCAACAAGAAACAGACCGCTTTCGCGCCAATACAATTGACCGCTTGGCTTCCTGTGTTAATCGAATCCTGCTTCGTTTTTTGTTTATGTGTGCAATTGTGACTGTCTAACGCTGACTTCTCTTCCCTTCCTTTCTCTGCGTCACTCAGATTCAAAGCATGGCGGGCCTCGACGTAACGCAAGAGGAAGTCATGCGGATGTTTCCCAAGAGAAACGGTGAGTGGCTCAATATGCTGCGCCGGCCTCAAGGTCGACCGAGAAACAGAGCTAGCGCTTCAATGTTTTTGTTATTTTTAATATATATATATATATATAAACATCCCTATAGAGCCAAAAACAGGTTTAAGTACGTCATATACAGCAGATATAATCCGGAGGAATTGAAGCGAATTCAACAGATTCAGATTTTATTTTGCAACGATGCGCAAAAATTCATTAGCCCAAGGAGAATGAAAACGTAATTTGTTTTTAACCTTTTTTTTTGTATGAGTTATGTAATATTTAATGGCGTCGTTAATTTGCCGTTCACACTACCAATAGAATAGAGCGCTCTGGAGCATGTTGAACTTAGCCTTCTAGTCTCCTACTTTACGTCTGCGCAACTTTCTTAAAATTCCTTTGCGTTCTCATGTACTTTGTGCTGAATGGCAGCTGTCGCAGCTATTGCATGCTGTCAGCATTTGTTTCATAATTACCATTTGTGTTTCTCATCGCGCGAATGCGGTCAACTTCCAGTGCACTTTGATTTATGCCTATAGTGAGTTTCCCTGGTCACAATTGTTGTGCAGTGTTCCCCCCCCCCCCCCCCCCCTAACTAGCTAAAAAAATACTAACTCTCACAGCTGTCTATATGTTTAAATGTTTATTCCGGTTTATTTGTTCAGTTATCTCTCGTTTATATTAGCACTTTTTTTTTTCGGTTCCGGAGGCTGCGACAAATCCGCTGTCCGGCCTCTTAGCCAAAACGTTTGGAGCCCCTTGTGTTAAAGTAAATAATAAGAGCCATTTAACCTACCGTGGCACCCTGGGAGCGGGCGCCTGTAAAGGCGGGCGAAAAATGTACGAAGAACCACGCGGAAATCGATTAAACGTTGGAAGACAAAAAAGAAAAGTTCTACACAATTAAAAAAAAAATACTAACCGCGGATTGCTATTTCTCGCACAAAAATCCTAAATACAATCTTTACGAAACAAATATATTCTATTTTCGTAAACTAGGTGCCCTAGCTGGTTTCTCCAGGATAGCATAAAACACCGCATTTGTTCGAGTAATACCCGCACTATTTATGTCCAAGGCTCTTGCGTCTACATTCCCACAGAACACATATACAGCCAATCGTTGCGTTGCGCATAAATAACATAACGAATAACCGGACCGAGTACACGATTCTCCCTACAAATGCAACCTTTAACAGATGGTATCTTCGGGCGGAGACGTTATCTCTGTCCTGTAAACAGCTGTAATTATGATGTCGATCGCGGTGATTGGCGGTCTGCATGCTCTGCAGAAAAGCGAACCCTCAGGTATTCTTTATAAACAGTTCCTCTATTACTCGAGTAAATACGGCAAGTTTTCTGTGCTCCGAATGCCATGCGATTTTCGGATGATTTTTCGCACATGTGTTCCGGCCTTTACGGAAATAAGCGACCCAATCGTTGGTGACAGGCTAATCATGGAGGACGTCCACCATATCTGACGCACACAGCTCTTGTGGGGGCCCTCGGAGATTAAAAAGAGCTGCGTGGTGTTTGACGAGGCCTCCAATCCCATCGCGGGATTGGAGGCCTCGTCCAGTGCTTAGTAGCTGAAAATAGCGATTTGACCGACACGAACTTGGTTTTTGTGAACTTATGAAGTTGATACCGGTTCTTAAAGTGACTTGGCGCACCCTCACTGCCGTACGTTGCATGCGCGTACAGCGGAGCAACGTCCTCAAGCCACTCATGAATTTTCGCAACGGCGTAGCATGCATGGGCGGAATCGCGGCCGTTGTCGCCACTGATGAGGCAGCTACGCGTTCTTTTTCTAGTTGTCACCACGCATGTGAAGATCGAAACGTGCATCTTTTGCCAGTGATGTGACCGAACTTCTCCAGGAAGTACGACTGTCCAGTTTTCTGCGAAATCAAAATGGAGCAAAACATTACCTTTCTCTAGGAAATGTTTTGCTTCACTTATAGTTTTGCCCTGTTCGTGTAAAATATATTTATGATAAACCCATTTTCTCAAGCACTCCCGAAGGTGTTCCCCAAAGGCAACAGGACTCACTTATTTTCTTGTCAGCTCTCCTTTCTCTCACGCTGCGTGCAACACTTCATTATCATCTGGGACCCTCAGGCCAGGCGCAGTAAGCGTTTCAGCTTTTGGCCATGAGCCGCAATGGCCGAGAAAACACTGCATTGATGGAGGGTTTCATATAGTCAGTTTATGAAGGATTTCAACACTTCTTATATTTCCAGTGGCCTTTTCTAAGGCACAAACACTTAGCTCGCTGTTAGAGCAGTACGTGCACAAGCGAACTTCGTGTCAAGATGTACACTCCACCCACTTTGGCCTCAATGAGTAGAACTTGGTGACCCGAATGGCCGTGTCAAGGTGAGCCATGTCAAACAACCGGAAAGTTTCCCGAACAGACCTAGTCATAAAACGCTTTCACACGTAGTTTTGGTCCCTTTGAGATGATGTCAATATTCTTCTTCCTCAGGTTCTGTTGGGAGTAGTTCAGTTTATCTTTGGTGTTGTAATTAAGTGCGGCCTGAACGTCCTCTTAGCTCAGCCTCATTGTTGTGTAGGGGTCAATAATTGACCACACTCAGAGTGTCTCTTGGTCCTTCCTTGCTTTTCGTATCAGGTGGCGGGTTGCTGAAGGAACATTCTTTTGTATCTGTTGCTGGGAGAGGTTCCTCGGGAGCAAGGTCAGGCAACGACATCGTTCTTGGTACGAATCAGAAGAATCGAACGGATCCCTCAGGTTGCAGCACAACTCCGAACAGATGTTTCAGTTTTGTACCGAGGCTCCCGGCTCCTCCGTGACTTTATATGCTGCAGTGAGTCTCCATAAACCTTTTTTTTTATTTTTTTAACGAGAACGCTCTTGATTTTCCTTTGCTTCCGCCTTGCATAAGGCTTCTGTCTTGCGTAAAGCTTCTGAGGTGATATTTCTGTTAACTGTAAGAATATGTTGAGACACTCGGCGGCTGCTTCCTGAGGAACAAAAATTTCGTCAGGCTCAGAGCTTTCCGAAGATTTTTTGGCGAGTTGCTTAAAGCGGCTGAAGCAGTTCTGAAACAAAATGTGGACATCTCGGATGGAATGAGCTGCTTCTGGCTGGCATAAGCTGCTTTAACAAAGCGATGTCCAAATAATTCACACTGCGAAGATTTCCTTGATACTCTATTATCTTTCTTGTACCTGTCGAGACAGTCAGCGCAGAACACTCGCTTTAAGCTGTATGATTCGGCCATCGAAGCGCGGGGAGCGCTAGGCGTATGCTGTACTCACGGACGATGCTCACGAAGCGTCCGCCGGATTTTCCACGAGAAAGGCAAGAGTGGTCTTTATCTCTGGTGTCTCCTTTCCCTTATATAACTTTCAAGGAACCGGCACGCTATTCTTCAATGTTTGTCTTCTCTTCGAGTTTCACGGTCCACCGCGGCGGCGGCTCCAATGCTGTGAAGGGACGCGCCGGTACCTCCAGACCATATCATGTTACCACCAGGCAAAAGGCTGAAATAAACATGTGTTTCGCGGAACCGCCTCGCTATACGTGGCGTTTACAGAAACTCTAAATGCCGGCTATTAAAAACAGGCCCTGCGAAGCATGCGACATGGGAGAGTGCCTCTCGATCAATCCGGTCCGCGCGCATTTTCGGCGACTCTTATTCAAAAACGCGCTAAGAATTCTGAGTTTAAAACCACCTCCCACCCTTGTGCCGTCAATTTGTTTCTTTCTGACCACCTTCGAGCATTTTTACACTTTGTAAATATAATAAATTTGGTATCTATGGGTATCTTCACGGCCCCATTCACGGAATTGCGGTAGCCTCAATTTGGTCGCATGTCTAGTCTTAGAACTTCAAATACAAAAAAAAATATGCTACATTTTTTTAAGATTCTGTTAGCACATGCCATTGGCCTTTATGTGGGAGAGTTTAAAAAAAATCGAATGTGAATTTTCTTTGTTAGAGTGCAGCTCTTAGGCGCTTGTTTCCGGCTTGAACGGCGTCGCCGTCGCCGTCGCCGTCGCCGTCGGCGTAACCACCCGTTGAATTATGAGACGTTTCCCATAATGACGCCACACGGAACGTCACGAGTGACGTCACGAGGGTCCCCCGGGTTGCAATATAAAATACGTCCCATGATGCAACGCGCGGGTCTCCCTCGTGACCCGCGCGTTGCATTATGGGATGTTTCCCATAATAACGCTACTAGGGTCCCGCGCGTCGCATTATAGGAAACGTCCCATAATTCCTCCTCCTCCTCCTCCTCCCCCTCCTTCCTCCTCCTCCTTTCTCCTCCCTCCTTACCCCTCACCTCCTCCTTCTCCCCCCCTCACTACCCTCCCCTCCTCCTCCTCAAGAGCTGCGCTCCAATTCTGCGTTACATGAAGTTCTAAACGTCTTTCTTTTTTTTAATCGAGTTTCAAATCAACTTTTAAATATTAAAATGGCCCCTTTTGAGCATTTCTCATAAATTTGTCCCGATTCCCAGGGCAACAATATTTAGCACCAATTTTAACAAGATACAGGACAACACGCTGTCAAAGTTTGAAAATTCTTGTATATATAGATGCAGGAGAAAAAAACAACAGAAGATGTACATATTTTCGCGGAATGGGCCGGGTTTGCGATTTTTCTCTGGAACTTAACATCGTCGTAACTTGATTATGAATATTTTGAGTTCATCCTTCCTTATATTTAGTTTGGGAGTAAATATGTGTAGACCCGTACCATGACAGTATCTCTTTTTTTCTTCGTCCTGTTGGGGGGGGGGGGGGGGGGGGTTTAGGTGCCCGAAATTCGCGCAATTCGCGGGAAGCGCTTCGCACTGAGACTGTGCTTCTAATTTTTGTTTTCCCGCACAGACTAACATTATTTTTTTTCGCAAAACAGATTTCGGTTTTGTTCTGACGGGCATTAAGTATACACATTTTTTTTTTCTTTAAAATTAGAATAGTCACCTGACATGGTCGGCCTAACTTTTCTGAAAATATCCAA